AAAAATTGAAGGTAAACAAATTAAAAGATAAATCAATAAAATAAAATAAAGATTTGAAGCTGCCAGAAACAAAGAAAGACAAGAAAGTTACAAAAATCGAAGACCATTATGGCATTACGAAAACGTATGCCTCGACTCTTCCGCAGGTTTTTACTTGATATAGGAGATATTTTATCACAATTAACAATTTAAATTAAACATACATATAATATATATATGTATGTATGTATGTATGTATGTATGTATGTATGTATATATATATATATATATATATATATATATATATATATTTATATATATATATATATATATATATATATATATATATATATCGGGGAAAGATCAAGTACAAACTGTGCTTATCGTGCAAATATTTGTATGATGCACCTTGACGTTATTTGCATTGCATATTGAGGTTCAAAATGGTGCATATTACTCAACTATAAAATAGCAGTTGCACATTAACGTTCAACGAGTTGCACCCTAAAAAAGTTGGGTTTTATTACAAAAATGTCAACTTGCCTTTATGTCCTTTGGATCAACTCATCGGATGGTCAAGATGAGTTTGCACTTTGTAAATTAAGAAGAGTTTGTATTTGATCTCTATTATATATATATATATATATATAGGATCACATACAAAGTCATCTTCATTTACAAAGTGCAAATTAATCCTAGCCATTCATTTCAATGAGATCAACCGTGTATTAATTTGGAAGATCCTAAAATTCTCCAAAGTTACCTAACCACATGGAATTGAAATAAAATACGGATTACATCCCCACTAACGAATGGTTGTTAGTGGCCCAATAAATTGTTACCATTGATTTTGTAAATTTGGCCGGATGAGATGAATTTGTATTTTGTATGGGAGGCATGCTTTGTATCCGATCTTAACCCTATATTATATATATATATATATATATATATATATATATATATATATATATATATATATATATATATATATATATATATATATATATATAACCTTACATAAAAAATTGGAGGCCCTTAAGATTTTGGGCGCCCTAGACAATTGTCTAGGCTGCATGCCCCCATGGCCGGCCCTGTGTGACTGATGGCTCATTTTATGCAAACGAGTATCAAGGGGTGTGTTTGTGTGTTGGGATATGGAAGTCCCGGATGTCGTCTCTCGGGACGGTGTATAAGGAAAGTAAGTGTGAATTCAACTTAAGTGTCTAAGATGTAAGCTAATCGATCAAGTAGTGTTTTGGTTTTAGAAAAAATAGCAAGCAACGAAAGAAATTAATAATCTCAAATAAAAGGGAAGCGGGGGGTCTCAAGGACCCATCATGTAATCAACTAGGAAAAATGATTATCGGGGAGATCAATCAACAAACATGCATTTGAGGGTCTGGTGAAAGTTCTCTCGCCACTCTCGTGGCCAAGAGATTGCCAAGGGAACTGAACGGCCATTCTCGTGGTCCATTTACTTTCCTAGGCTAAACAATTTAGCATAACCAACTAACGTGACCCCTATCTCTTCCCACTCTCGTGGCGAGGAGATAGTGTGTGTGTGTGTGTGTGTGTGTGTGAAGGTGTCTAGAGAAACCCTACGAGTCTCCTCACGGGTTCTAACAAGTTTCTACCTAAATTGTGGCCATCAATTAAAAGAAAAAAGTCATTGAGGAATTTTCACAAACACTTGGCATGCATATTATATTGATTGATTTCCCTAATGAATCTAAACCCAAAGATCACATGATGGGGTGATCCTTGATCACCCCCAACCCCTAAACATTCTACTCACACATAATTGAAGACGAAATCAAAAGATTTGCAAAGAATAAGAACATATGCATGATTAAACAACTAAAGGGAATTGCAAGAGAATTGAGAAGAACTAAGATTTGTATTGATTAAAGAGTAAATTCATGTAATTGTAATCTAAAACAATGATCAAGAGTGAAAGAGAGTAGTAAAGTAAGAGATTACAAGCTTAACTAGGGTTCTTGAGCTCTCCCAAGTCGAAATTTGGCCAAAAGATTCGTAAAAAGGGTAAAATTCGCGTTTTTATATGTTTCCGCAGTCGGGAGAACGTCGGGAGGAACGTCGTTCCTATGGGCGTCCTTTTCTTTACAAAATAAATTAATCGTCTGGCAGAGAGTTCGACGCCGTGAGGAATGGAGCAGGGACGTCGTTCTTGAAGGAACGCTGAGAGGAACGACGTTCCCTGCCAGTGTTCCCACACCTGGGAGTTCCGGAATCAACTGCAGCGTAGGAAAGGTGAAAGGAACGGCGTTCCTATGGGCGTTCCTCCTCCCTGGCCTCCAAAGAATTCTTCTTTCCATCCCGTGATGCCCTTCCTTTGCTCGGTCCAGTCCAAAACTTCTCTCTCTCGTCCGTTTCCTTCTTTCGATCTCTTTTAAGCTCCAGCTTCTTCCCTGAATCCACAATGCTCTTCACACTCGTCTGAAAACTTGCTTTTGCCCACATATTTGCTCCAAATATCCTCAAAGTCAAGTGGAGCTTTTATTCTAGTCCCACAATCGAAAACAAACCAAAACCACACGAAAAACATGCTAGAATGCTGCAAAATTGTCACGCAACGACTCAGAATTTGGGTAACAAATAAGGTGTTTTCACACCTTATCAGTGACATGCACCAAAGATGTCTTTGATGACTAGGATATAGTTCAGTATATATACCCTTACAGCCCATTGTATAGTTACAATATATTTTTGTGTCTTTTATATATACCGAGTCATCCAAGCGCTCTTGGTTTAAGGAATAAACCTTTTCTACACTATGATGAGCTGGTTGAGGTGTTTAAGAATGTTCGATCTACAAAAGTTCGAGCAAAGAATGCAGCTGATGCAATTGAAGAAAAGATGGACAAGAATGAGATGATGAAACTGATTTCGGAAGGGCATATGGAGAAGATCAAATGAGTAACAAGGGGCTAGTACGAATGGTGTATCTGTTACCAATTCAAGCAATGAGCAAAGCACAAAATAAGAAAGTTAGAAATGTGACTAGCAAAACGAGGAAAACATGTGATGATGGTTTTACTACTTTGGTTGTTGAGATATGAAAGTTTGAATCTTCTTACTGTGAGAGCACAGAGTGCCTAAAAATATTCCTTCCTTCTTTAGTTAACAAGCTGCTAGGACTGGTAGTAGGTTGATGATTTTTAATGAGATCATTAAATTGGATGTTTTCTCAAATCAAGAAGTGATATATGCAGGTAAGCATATATTGAAAGATGATCACAAGTTTGATACTGCTTATGCTCTTCCTATCACATTTAGAAATGATTATGTTCTACAGCAATTGACATGCCGGGCCCCATATCATCCCATCTTACCATTGAAAATACTTTTGGGTGTGTTAGTTTTGAATTATAGTATAAAGCAAGGAGGTGATGATACCTCTAGACTTTATTTTTGCTAGTACATTTTAATCATCTAATGAGTATTACAAATGTCAGTAATATCTTCAGTACATTCACATTATTATCTTAATATATTGTTGCCTATACATTATTGGGTAGTTAACTCAATGATGTTTAAAAGTAGTGATGGCAACGGGGCGGATCGGGGACGGGTACACATAAAACCGAAACCGCCCCGTTGGATAAATGTTTGCCCCAAAACCGCCCCATTACCCGTTCGAGTAATTTTTATTTGAACCGTACCCGCCCCAACGGGGAATCGGTTTATCCACGGGTAACCGTTTCCCCAAATGATGCCAAATAACCATTTCTCGGAACATAAACAATCAATTTCTAATCCTACTTGTTATTTATATATTCAGAGCACCGTAAAACATACAAAAGTAAATATTTAAGCAATCAAGCAGACTGGCCTAAATCCATAAGTATGACATGCACCTAATAATCTAATATCTCTTGTAACATAATAAAAAGGTAGTAACTAGTAATCATCCCAGAATCCAAATTCCAAAAACAGGTTTAGGCCTATATTTAGTTTTAGGCCTAAAAAGTAGTATACTTTTTAGCATTATTTATATGATATATACTATTTAGTATACACAATGTAGGATATACATTTATTATTCTTATATATAAAAAGTTATAATTCATTAATATTGTTACGGATCGGGTAACGGTGCGGTAACGGTGCGGGTACCCGCACCATTAGTGAACGGGGCGGTTTCGGGGCGGATAACGAGGCGGATTAGTATAAAACCATAACCGCACCATTAACCATTTAAAAAATTCGGGTATTCCCCGCCCCATACCCATTCCCCAGTCAAACCGGTTTTTCCCAGTTTGACCAAATCGGTTCGGTGCGGGTATCCAACGGGTTGGCCAAAATTGCCATCTCTATTTAAAAGTGTTATAGAACTTGTAAGTTGCAACATTCACTTGTTTTTGCTACAACTATTTTGTTAATGATATATTCACCTTTATTTATTAGTGTATGTCATTATGTGTTTACTTAAATAGAATTATTTATTAATGTTCACCAATCTTTACCTTTGTGTGCAAGATATCTTTGTCATTTGTCGACTAATCATTCTTTGCTTAAAAAATAATTCATTCAATTAGTTTTGATATTCCTTATTGTTAAGATATTTCATTTTTTCTTCAATTTAGTAATAAGTTTAGAAATAGTTACATACGAAATATGTGTCTAAAATAAAGGTTGTTTACAAAAACATGACATCTTATGTGTAGTAACTTTAGTCAAGTAAGTTACGTCCACTTTTTACACTTAAGTGACTATGAGACTATATTATACATAGTAATAACTACTCCGTATTAGTCAGATTTTGTAAAGAAGTTTTATTTCAATTATATTTTTTTTAAATATAAATATGCGAAGAGCAAATATTTAAAGGGCATTGAAGTAATTTACCAAAACTGCAATATAAGATACTTTCTCTGTCCTACTAAGATTATCCCATCTTTGTCTCCTGGGGTGTCTCATTAAGGTTGTATCATACCAAATTTGGTAAAATTTATGTAGTTCTAAATGATTCATATATTATTTGTACTTTATCAATTCAATATCAATCACATAAATTCACTTTTATTAATCATTGCACCACATTCTCACACCCTAATTTTAGTAGCACATAGGTATTATCATTCAACGAAACAAATTGATGTGATAGTCCTTAACCTAAACTAAACACAAACGGTATACAGATTGAATAGTCCATCAATCTCACACTCAAAAATTTAACATTTCAAAGTAATCTGACATTTTTTTTAACCAAACGGGTCCTTCAAAGGTTTTCTATGGTATTATTTTATTGTTGTCTGTGAGATCCTCATCCAAACTAATTAAGTTGCAGATCAGAGTCAAGTATGGGTCGGTCATGTTGCATGACCTCATGCACAACTGAACAATCGAGGTCCCCCAAACCCAAGTTCATTGCCTTCTTGAATGCCTGCATTCAAATTGCAAGTCCGAATAGATGAATAATAAATGCTATTATAAATTCGATGTTAAATTCATTTTCTTAACCCTCATATAATACTTGCCCTTCGCCGATTGTCATTACCTCTAAGGGCGGAATAAGAGCACTAGACCGGATTGGGCTGATATAAAGAATATTGGGGGGGGGGGGATTACACGGAATATTTTACACTAAAAATTAAGACATTTGTTAGATTCTAGAAGGGCCAAGGTTTAGTTTGGCCCCCTCTACCGCCGCCCCTGGATTTACTTTATCCACTTTCCAGGATTTCACAAAGTGTAAGTATCCTTGGATGTGTACATTGGTTCCCGTTCGGTTATAGTTCAATAACTCAATTCATTTCGGTTTGTAATGGACATATTAAGAGAAAGGATTTTTCCATAAATATAATTTATGAACTTTAACATAGCAATGGTTACTAAAACTGATATTATGTTCATTAAAGTATAACAAGTCAAATTTTTATCCACCGCTCTTACTAGTTACTATAGTCATATATTCGTTCTTAATTCTTGGAAGAACAATTATCAAATAAAAAGCATTTTTTTACCCCGGAAGGGAAACCACCCATTTGGTGGGGCAAATGCCGGGGGACATTTGCCGGTGTTTTATTAATATAGAGACGGATACAGAAAGAGAGGGGGACCAGACCAATACCTCTCAACAAAGATATAGTGAAAAGAGAAATAAGAAAAAATAAATGATTTTTTTTGGGGGGGGGGGGGGGGGGTAGGCCTAACCCAAAATTAAAAAAAATGAATTAAAACCTGAACCTAGGCATTCCGAAAAGATCAGCATAATAACTCATTTTAGTATAAAAAGCATACTATGCTTCGAGTTGATTCGATTCGCCTTGGATGTATTTTTTAGTTTTATTGAATTTAACCAGATGTTTGTAAAACATTCATATAACATTTATAGTGTAATGCATCACATTTACATAAAATATACACTACTTATATTAATACTCCCTCCGTCCCAATATAAAAGGCACACTTTCCTTTTCGGTCCGTCCCAATATAAAAGGCACATTTCCCTTTTTGGCAAACAAAACAGTGCAAAACAGTGCCAAACAGTGCCAAACAGTGTCCAAACAGTGCCAAACAGTGTCCAAACAGTGTTCAAACAGTGTTCACCATTACAAACTCCCCAAACGCAAATGTGCCTTTTATATTGGGACGGAGGGAGTATCTCTTAAACATTTTTCATATATATATTTACATTATTTATAACGGTATTTACATAAGATATAAAATGAGTTACAGAAAAATATAACATATTGATAGAGTATTTGGGCCTTTCGGGTTAAAAAAAAAGATAGAGTATTTGGTTCTGGACCTATGGCCCACATACTCATAGATACACAAACAAGACTACAAGCTACTAGACTACCTCTCGGCTGGGGGGCCTCGGCCAGACGAGGTCCCACCACAAAGAAGATTCTCAGAAATAAGGAACTCAAGACACGGAACCAAAAATCTAGCTCAAGAACAGTCCCCAGGGCTTGGTCTCCTCGGCCTTGCCACCTCGTCCTAGTCGCCTCGGCCAGGGCCTTCAGCAGATTGCTCTCACATTGTACTTAGTAGAATAACTTCATTTAAACAACTTTTAAATGTCCCATCATTGTAATCGGACCCCGCCCAAGACCTGGGAGCCCATCCCAAATTTCCTATATAAATACTCTTCTTGGAGGTAGTTTTAGGGGGTTGAAAAATATTGAATGCAAAGAACTTGCTCTCTCTAGCTTACTTTTCTCTAGAATATTACTCTATCATTTGGTGTTCTCGTTGAGAGCTAGAACATTCAAGTTAGTACCCTCGTCGCTACCAGACACAACTAACTAAAATATGGGAAAGATTGGGTCAAACAAGAACCCCACACATAAGGCTCTCTGGGACTCCCCGGATCCAGCAGAAAAGTCAAGGGATGCCATGACTGAGAAGCCTGACCTCTAGGACATAGTCGACCCCATGTCTAACCTCCACAACCAGATCAACATCACTGCCCCATAAGCCCACATCGGAATCGAGGGAAGGAGCAAAGAAAGGAGCGAGCCCACAAAGACTCAACAAGCCACTCCCCGTATGGACGTACATGCAGCCCACTCTGTCATCATAGCGATCCTCGCTCAAGACCTCGCTGCCTTGAGCGCCCTCTTGCCCAAGACTGGGGGAAATACTACGCCGCCACCTCCCCCACCCATCCCCACGACAAACTATTTCAAGTATGGCAATGACGAGCGCATCGCCGCCCAGGACACCGCGTCGAACACAACCCCTCACCCCCTCACGCTGAGCCTAACCAAGAGCGCAGCCACACCTCGACCCTCAAAGGATCGGATGTGCGTAGCGGGAGAGCCAGGGGTTGATGGCTCGATAGTGGACAAGCAGCCCCTTGAAAAAGGCAAAGGGAAGCTCCATGAAGACAACACTACAAGGCACCACTACAATGGGGAGGGACCCTCGAGATGAGGTAATATCACAACTGGAAAAGTTGATAGCTTAGAGCGATAGGTGGTTGACGACAGCGAGAATCATGTAGTACATATCAGGACGAGGCCCCCCCTGCACTGCAAGGTAGGGTCGAGTGCGGTCCGGGTCGGTCCAGGTAATTGAAAAAATATCAAGAACCTCCGGTTCCATTTAACGGGTAGGTTCGGTCCGAGTATACCAAATCTCGAAATAGGAATCGGACATTACCCACCCCATTTGAAACGAGCCGGTTCGGTTTGAGTTCTCGGTTCTTTATTTTTTTAAAATAAAAATCCGGCTATCCTAGCGAAGTTTCTAGTAAGTTATAAAATTCTCAAACTAATTAAGTATTATTAATGTAACCATAATATTGAAAAAATTCCAAATAAAAATGCAAAACAACTTTAAATTAGTTAATAAAATATCTAACAACATATCTATAAATTGAACAACACACAACCACCTATATTAATATCTTAATCATTATTCATAAACTAAAAAGATAGCACCATAAAGTCACAAGAAATTAAACTAGTAACTATACATATTTGTAAACGTAAGATAATAAAACAAATATGTCACACTTCATTAAGTAAGAGTCTTTGTTTACAATAAAATATTTTAAAAAAAGTTTGATGCATTTGGAATAGAGAATTGAGGACAATAATTTTGGATCTGAGATGGACTTAGAAACGGTTTTTAACAAATTGACAAATATCTTAAAATGAAAGTCTTTGTCTACTATTTCCTAAAAAAAGGAAGTCTTTGTCTACTCACAAGAGCATGAAGATCTTCCATGTGTTGTTAGTAAATCATATTAAATATAATAGAATTGATTAAAATAACATTTTAAAACGGTTCAGTTCGGGTACCCGTTGTTTCAAATTTTAAGACCCGTCTTAATATTCACAGAAAAACTACGTGTTCGGGTCCTAAGTTTTTAAGGACCCGCCCCGTCCCGAACAGTTTGGGTTTTCTGAAATTAGGACTCGACCCTAACCTACCCCAAACCTGTATTACCCGGCCCAACCTGCGGTTTCTATACCCATTTGCCCACCCCTACTGCAAGGGTCCTCTTAGTCCCCATCTTATGCAAGTACCACGGTCACACGGTAAAACCATATGACGGCTGCAATGATCCACAAGAGCACTTTAGCCGCTATCAGAATAGCATGCTTATGGTCAATGCCTCTGATGAGTACCTATGTTGATAGTTCCTCTCCACTCTCGAGGGCCCGCCATACCTGTGGTTCAGTGAGCTACCTGAGGGCAACATTGATTCATGGCAAGATCTAGCCCAGTGCTTCCCGATACATTACGCGAGGAGGAAGTGCACCAAGAAACATTTCTCGCACCTCTTCAGCGTCAAGCAAAAGGAGGAAACTCTCCACGACTTCCTAAAAAGGTGGAGGCGGGAGACCCTCTTGGTCGAGGGTGCCAATGACTGGACTCTCCTTGTCCTCCGTCAGGGAGTATTATGCAACAACGCATTTGCTAAATACCTCATAACTGAACCCACTAAGGTCATATGCGAAAGCGATGCAACAAGGCGACCGCTCCGCCGAGGCAGACGAGCTGCACTCCAAGAGGTAGGATGGCAGCCGGCCACAAAGGAAAGACAACAATCAGACCCGCAGATCAACACCCTCGGCTCTGGAGCAGGGTGCCCATAGACAACCCGAGCCGAGTCCAAGGGATGACGTAGACACAAACAGACTTAGAGGCTGATGAACATCGATCAACCATGCACCCCTCTGACGCATCCAAACGGTATCATCTTGAATTATGCGAAAAAGAAGGGTCTGGTTCAGGGAGATTCGAGGTCTCCCTAAGAGATATGTCGTCCATCAGGGCGACACGTACTGTCATTTCCACTGGAACAACACCCAAAACACGGAGTACTAAAACACCCTCGAAGGGTAAAGTGAACGCGTCATCATAGAGATTACATCTCCCAAATGGTTAAAGGTGTTCTAAGGAATAATACTTGGGTGAACACCGTCAATTGGGGGGCCTGTTACCTCAAATTCCTCAAAATCACGAAAAAGGTAATTAGATCCGAGCTTCGGGTTAACACTATCACTACGGGCATCAACAAGGAAGACAATCAGCCTCGAGCTGAGCCGGTAGATTGAAGACATCAAGAAGCTGCCTCTCAATGTCTCCCGGACTGAACGAGTCCTGAAAATCAAAAGACAGCTCCAGGAGAATAAATGAACTGAGATCCTCCTCGTCCTCTGAGCTTACGGATTCACCTTCACTTAGGGACCAGAGGTATGCCAGGAATCAGCCGAGTTGTCATCACTCATCGGTTGGTCGTTGATCCCGCCTATGTGCTAGTAAAATAGAAACATTGATATCTATCGGTAGGGAAGTTGGACTTCATCAAGATCGAGGACACCATGCTCCCCTCGATCCGACATATCAAGGAGGTGAATTACCTGACGTGGCTAGTTAACATCGTCCTCACCCAAAACCTATCGACTTTCAGAATGTGCT